TCCTGACATAAATTCTGAATGCATGTCCAGAGATATAAATCCAGATTTTGGCACAAATTCAGAACATACATAACGGCTAGTGATCTGACTCGGATTTCACATATAGAAGGATTTGATTGACTCAATCTTGAAGGTTATTTTGCAAAAGCAAATTCATAATGCAAACTATTATAAATCGATTGGCAATCAATCTCAAGGCAAGTATCTTATTAAATGGAGAAGCTCTACTTATGGAAACCGAGACTTTGGTTGTATGGAATATCAGATTTAGCGGGATTCAGATTTTGTTACTCAACGGCTACTCAATCCCCTTAATACAAATCTGTCTAAGATGAAGATTGGAAGATGATCCTATCAAGATTGTCCAACAGCTAGATTGGAAATGGAGAAGTATAAAATGAGACCAAGTGCCGAGGAGCAAAAGCAAAAGACGAAATTCAGAATCTACAATTTCAATGTCTGAGCATACTCTGATCTATACTACTTGTCTTTCATGAGCTAAAACTTGTGATCTTGAGAGAAATACTGGAATAGTGATTTAGTGAGATAGTGAGATCTATCATACATTGAGTGTTATTATTCATAATTGTAATATCTTGATTGATCATGCAGTGAAATCCAGCCAATAGACTGTGAACATAGAAGAGTGGACGTAAGCTTGATCTAAGCCGAATTACTATACTTCTTGTGTGTAGATTTTCTCATCTCTTAAACTTCCTTTTATTTATTACATAGCACACTTGCAAAATTGATATCAAAAAATGGTTTAAATCTAAACGTTATTCAGACTTTGTTCTTATTCTTTTACTTCCGCTTTAAATTGGTCAATAATTACTTAAAATCACCTATTCACCTCATTTTAGGCAATCCTTGCTAGTCACCTAAGTAACTACTTCGCACCACCTGCACCCGAAGGTCCAAGGTTGGGAAGCCCATCACTATATGGTATACAGTAAAACTATTTTTATTGTATAATCCAGTTTTAGTGGCCAAAAATCTGTGTAACATTGCAAGCCAAAGCGAAGTAATAAACCCATGTCTAGTTTTTTTTACGCCAACTACCAAACCATTTCTATCGCTTCGTTGCGTAATAGAGTACATTATCGGCCCTTTCCTAATAGTTTAAACATTGGAAAAAATAGTTTGTTTAACACGGCACCAAAATATAGGTCTAACTTCAAATCTTGATACTGTCTCTCAATTTTCTCCTACTTTTTATTCTGCATGTTTTCTATTTTGACGATTATTCTATTAAAGTAATTCTATCCATGACCTGTCATGCCGATGTAAGACCAGCTCGAACGCAAGGACTAGCATTAAGTTATATGCTAATAAATACATTCGGGCGAGGGTTGGGACGGTAAGGGGCATTGATAGCTGATTGAGTTCTTAGCAGCTTCCACAAGTGTCTTATTAGTATGATGCACTCTGCAACCAGTCTCTTAACTTAAAATTGTTGAGAATCATATGTTTTAACACACAAAATGCATATAGGAGAAGAAAGGATATGTCACTAATGCACATAAAAGGCAAAAGTCTTTCAAAATAGGCTCTTCCATTCATTAACATTCTAACGCCTATAATGGAGTCAAATCAAATAGAGTCATACCACAATATTAATCTTAATAGATGCAAATAAATATGATAAAAATAAATCCTTTTATATAGATTGTGCACTTTGTAGTTGGTCTCTAACACAGGGAGAATTACCAAAAAAATCATAAACCTATTGTACTTGTGCTAATTCGATTTCACCCAAAAATGAGACGCGTTGTGTACTCTCAAAAGAGTTGGAGGACTTTAATAGGCGGCAATAAAATTAATGCATGAGATGCAATAATGCATCCCCATATGAAGGAAATTTTTGCTGATAGAGTAAAGGGCAAAACGGGAAAACCGGCGATAGCGACTCCTAGTGGACATTATCAAATAGATTTCTCATGTCATACTTGTCACGGGATGTGTCGTAACTGGTGAAAAGACCTCCTAATAGATTTTGATATTGACAAAATTATCTATATATGTTTTGTAAGTTTGATAAATGTCTTGAAGTATTTTGATTCAAAAGATTATTCTTGGAAGAAAAGATGTGGCAATCTTATTCAAGATCAGATTATGGAATTTACTTCAAGTAAAGGAGGTTTAGACTTTATACTGTAAATGAAGGTTAAGACTTTAAAGAACAACCCATCCGACATAAATTCTGAATGCATGTCTAAACAATATAAATCCAGATTTTTGGCACAAATTCAGAACATACATAACGGCTAGTGATCTGCCTTGGATTTCACATATAGATAGATTTGATTTCTTCAATCTTGCAAAAGCAAATTCATAATGCAAACTATCATAAATCGATTGGCAGTTTATCTCAAGGCAAGTTTCCTATTAAATGGAAAAGCTCTACTTATGGAAATTGAGACTTTGATTATATGGGCGATCAGATTTAGCGGGATTCAGATTTTGTTACTCAACGGCTACTCAATCCCCGTAATACAAATCTGTCTAAGATGAAGATTAGAAGATGATCGTCTAAAGACCATCCAACGGCTAGATTAGAGTATATAAGGAGTCCAAGTGCCAAGGAGCAGAAGCAAAAGATGAAATCCAGAATCTACAATTCCAAGGTCACTTTGATCTTTGCTACTTGTCTTTCATGAGCTAAAACTTGTGATCTTGAGAGAAGTACCGAAAGAGTGATTTAGTGAGATAGTGAGATCTATCATACACTGAGTTTTATCACTCATAATTGTAATCTCTTGATTGATTATATAGTGGAATCCAACCAGTAGGATGTTAGCGTGGGAGAGTGGACGTGGGTTTGATCTAAACCGAATCACTATACTTATTGTGTGTAGATTTTCTCATCTCTTAAAGTTCCTTTTACTTATTACATTGCACACTTGCCAAATTGGTATAAAAAATGGTTTAAATCTGAACGTTATTCAGACTTTATTCTTGATCTTTTATTTCCGCTTTAAATAGGTCAATAATTATTTAAAATAACATATTCACCCCCTCTAGGTGATCCTTTCTAGTCACCTCAATGACTACTTTGCACCACCTACACCCAAAGGTCCAAGGTTGGTATGCCCGTCACTATATGGTATACAGTAAAACTATTTTTAACTATATAATCCAGTTTTAGTGTCTAAAAATCTGTGTAACATTGCAAGCCAAAGCTAAGTAATAAACCCATGTCTAGTTTTTTTACGCCAACTACCAAACCATTTCCGTCGCTTCGTTGTGTGATAGAGTACATTGTCGGCCCTTTCCTAATAGTTTAAACATTGGAAAAAATAGTTTGTTTAACACGGCACCAAAATATAGGTCTAACTTCAAATCTTGATGCTGTCTCTCAATTTTCTCTTACTTTTTATTCTGCATGTTTTTTGTTTTGACGATTATTCTATTAAAGTAATTCTATCCACGACCTGTCGTGCCGACGTAAGACCGGCTCGAACGCGAGGACAAGCGTTAAGTTATGTGCTAATAAATACATTCGGTCAAGGGTTGGGATGACAAGGGGCATTGATAGATGATTGGGTTCTTAGCAGCTTCCACAAGTGTCTTATTAGTATGATGCACTCTACAGCCAATCTCTCAACTCAAAATTGTTGAGAATCATATGTTTTAACACACAAAATGCATAAAGGAGAAGAAAGGACATGTCAATATAGCACATAACACGGCAAAAGTCTTTCAAAAGGGGTTCTTCCATTCATTGACATTCTAACGCCAATAATGGAGCCGAATCAGATAGAGTCATACCATAATATTAATCATAATAGATGCAAATAAATATGATAAAAAAAACTCCTTATATATATTATTGTGCAGTTTGTACTTGTGCTAACTCGATTATAAACCTTTTAATTGTTTAATTGAGTCACAAACCTTTTCGCGTTTTGCTAATTGAGTCAATTCGGACAATTTTGATTGGAAATCGCTGATGTGGATGCCGGCCATCCTACGTGGTACTGCTGGTGCTAATGTGGACATTTTAAATAATATTTTAATATTTATGTTCTTTTTTTTCTTTTCTTTATTTGTTTTTTTTTTTAAAATTTTGACTGGCGAGGACCTTGTCCGCTACAAGCGAGGGAGCCATGACCCTCGTCGGGTCTGGGCAACGGCCGCGATAGCCTCGCTTGATTTGGGTGAGCGAAGTCCTCACCGACCTCGCCGGCCCTAAGTCTAGGGAAAAAAAGAAATAGTAAAGAAAAGAAAAAATTCAAAAAATTATCAAAATTATTAAAATATTATTTAAAAAAATCCATGTCAGTACCGGTTGTGCCACGTAGGACGGCCGGCATCCACGTCAACGATTTCTAGCCAAAATTGACCGGATGGACTCAATTGGCAAAATGTGAACAGGTTTAGGACTCTTTTTGTAAGAGCATATGTATGTCAAACACAAATCACTATAGAACATTTGGAGTCCCGGTAAAACTAAACTTCTAATGGATTAGTTGGCCAATGTAAAGAAGAAGAGAACATTGAAGGAGAGGCCTGCGCCGACTGAAAACTTCTTCATTGAAATTTGGCATCCTCCATCAAGTTACACAGTGGAGAGAGGGACTTCATGCCTATTACGCTCTTGGTTCTTCTGCGTTGGCAATTACATCATATGGTCTTCACCTGTATAAACAGAAGTTACAATTGCCTGCACAATCAGCTTAAGCATGAGAATTTATAAGCAAGGACTAGATTCATACGACTGGAATTCAATTGGGCCATGACTTATGCAGGCTGGAGAGGGCCAGAGGACACTTGAACGATGGACAGACTATAGACCAAATGTCCTGTAAAATGGTGATAAAGAAGAAACATGGCATGAAGTAGGAGTGAAAGAGACTCGTCATCATCTTCAAAATTGCACGAGACTACTTTTGCTTACACTCTTACGGACAACTGAAAGAGCCAACCAAATTCGCAGAAAAAGAACAGACATCGTCATCTTAGGGCTAACATGACATCAAAACTACAGTTGCTCCCCAGGCTAAAATACGTGAATTATATATAGCAACAACACCAAAGAGAAACAACTGTATCTACAAGCAAACCACAAATTCCTCCCCTCACATCACTTTCCAGCAATTTGAAATGACTCATATTGTGATTTGATACTTTTTTGTTCGATTAGAAGCTCGAGAGATAGACTGGTACTGATTGATATATGGGGAATCTTTCCACCTTAAAGTTTCACTTGTCTATTGAAAATCCAGCTGAATGGAACATTGGGTCCTTCCTTGGCCCTTCCCTGAGCTCTCTCCTCCAGCCTTCTAATTCTTGGCGGTAGCCCGCAAACATAATCCTGAGCTTTCCTTCCCTCAGCTGAAAGGCCAGTGACATTCTCCACCTTCCACCTTCCCACCAGAAACTCCAAGATGTCGGCATAGTCCTTGGCTGTGTATACGCTGAGTCGCTGAGCAACGGCTGAGAAATGGTCAAAAAGGTTGTCATCATGACCGTCGTACATCAAATGAGCCGGCATAGAGATTTTCTTCCTCATCATGTCAGCAAATGCTAAGACAGTGCCATCTGGGTCGATCTCAAAGAGCTTCTCCACGATCTTGGTGTAGGCCGTTTCATGGCGCTTCTCATCTGATGCAATTGTGCCACAAATTTGAGCCAATTTCAAGTCCCCATATTCCTTGGCATGCCTGGCAGTGTTTCCATGAGAAATGAATGTCGCTCTTTCTTGGAATGAAGTGTAGATGAAGCCAAGGTAGGGGCTGTTTTCCGTCCGAGGATCCTAGTAGAAGGTACAGACGGGATATAGCCCCGGTTAGTGGAATAAGATGTAGAAAACAAACATCATATGTAGTATCCGCATATCTAATGGCATCTTCAACAACTAATTCTAATGTAGTAATTCGAAGATCAAATCGAAGTTTGACAGCAGACACAGACACAGAACTTAAAAATGAAGGTCACACACTAAAGATTGCAGCAGAGGGAGGAGCAACAAATAGTTCAGAGGAATCAGAATATTCAATTGAATGCTTCTCAACTTACGTGGACCTATCTTTGGCTGTATCCTATGATCATCGATAAGTGCAGTGCACTTAGTGTCTTTTTTAACTGCTAAGGTTTGGCGTGCATGTGAGTATGATTTTGTGCTGTGGGTATGTATATCGATTGGGATATAGCTCTATGAACTCACCATCCCTGACCCGATCAAATACTGAATTGTTTTCTCAATTTGCCTCATGTCCACTCTTCCAGATAAGTACAAGTACTTGTTCAGGAGGTCACCATGTCTGTTCTCCTCTGCAGTCCATGCCCTTGTCCAAATGGCCCAAGATGTTGGGCTTGCACCGGTCTCATCTCGAACTCCATCCAAGGTGTTAAGCATTGTCTGATAAGTAGGGAGAGCTTCTTCTGTTATCATGTCTCCAACCAAAACGACAAAGTAATCATCAGGAATTTCCTTAGCCCTCTCCCTTAGTTCCCTAACTTGGTCTTCAAATCCATCAGAGGCAGGATCTGGCAGAAAATCCTGCGGTTGCCAACACTTCTCAACAGGCTTCAAGTGAACTAATATGTTCTTCTCAGCCCAATCCTCCATAGATTTGAATATTTCAATCTTTTGGGGTGGCATGGAGTGGGTTACTTGGACATGCACCTCCCGAGGGGGCATAAAAGACTTCTTGACACTCTCAACCTCCCTGCGTCAAGCATAAGAAGAGGAGCTGATCATCGACATTTCATTACAAGCAGGAAAACATGGATGTCAGATCTAGTTAACAATGTTGAATATAGGATGATTTCCAATCAGTCAAATGATAGAAGAAAGATTGTGGGCTCACATTGACATCTCAAGTGAAGCACGGGAACATAGGCCGGTTCATGTAAAACATGTTCTGATATGAATACTATATGCAAGAATGTAACCTCAACAAGGAGACTGAAAAAAGTACTTCAAAATAACTACTTTGGTTCACATTAATTCCCCATTGAAATTATTTGCAACTGTATACTCACTGATCCCGTGATATGCTTTTCCATAATGCCAATTTCCATGCCACCAACCATTTCGTGAAAACAACAGAAGCCATGCTGGACCAAACAATTTTCTAGGAGTGTTATGACTTATAGAAGGCAAAGTGCATGATTTAGTATAAGAAGAGCTAAGTGTTCATTGAGAGATTCTTCATTTTGACTCCCTCAAAAACTTAAAAAGTCTCCCACCTTCATAGCCCTCTCAACTGTCTTCCACTATTTGTCGGTCTACTTGGGTGTCAAAAGATCGATCTAATTCATTTCATCTATGCACATATGAAGCAAAAGGGGTAAGAAGTTGCTAAGACATTTTATGTTAAAGTTTAATATTGGGATTGCAAGTATATAGCCTCTGGCCTCTTCCTAAATTGTTTATGTGGAAATAATCGAGCTAAACAATGTCAAAACTTCCAAAGCTAATGCATTAAATTGAAAAATTTGCAGGATCTTACGATCCTCTATCCAATCCTACAATCGGATCCTTAAAGACCTCCCTACGATCCTACCTAGAATCCCGAACCTTACAACCTTGGTTGCAATGCCATGAATGGTTAAATTTTAGACAAGTGATCATAGATCAAGCTAAGTTGCACCTGCAATACTGATCAAACGAATCAGAGAGACAGTAGTCCATGACTGTACAAGGCTGCATCATCATTGAGAATAACACAAACAAATCAGATCCCTAAAGAGAAGCATCCACCGCAGGAGATCAAAAGACAGGAAGCTAGCTCACTTTAACAAGGAATGTGGGACAGGAGTACATCGGAGTAGCTTACTGATAACTACCAAACCAAGAAAAAAGGCAAGTGGGAGGATTACTGCAAAAGATATTAAACTTATGGTCACAAAGCATAGGAGCACACAAGCATGACCCACGGCTACAAGTCACTCCAAGTCAAAGAACCACCACCTAAGGCCCAAAACTTATGGAAGGAGCTGAAAGAAACCCAAGACTCCTTGCATTAAATACCAAACTCAAACAACTACTTCATTGATGTTTACAGGAGAATCCAGAATTGGACAACAGGAGGGGAAAAAAAAACATCAGGAACACAAGAAACCATCGAGATGAGAAAAAGATCTTCTGAAAACTCATTGGTCAAGGCAAAAAAAAAATAAAAAATTGGCCCACTAAAAGTTCCAAGAAAATCCTATCAAACTCCAATATCCACTGCACCTGTGGAAAATACATGAACATGCAATAATTAAATTCAATATTTGACAATATCCCTCGATACTGTCGAGAAAGGACGGGGTAGTAGGTCAAAAAATTCAGAAGTCGCACGAGATCTGAACGTGACCAGCAAAGAATTTAATAACTCAACCATCAAGGAATAAACTTTCAAGAAGATACAAGGCTTGACTCTGTTTTGGCGACGCAATTATTGCATTGCAGAGCGCAAAATTACAGCCGAATAGCCCAAAAAATAATAAAAAAGAGCAAAAAAGAAATTGTGCCAACCTGCAATGAAAACCCAACCATCCACCTGTCCACCAAGCAGGCTACGACAAAACCACGCATGAGCTCAAAAAGAACACCACCTTGAAACCTGGTCATCATCATCGATTCATCATCATCTAGGAAGATCGATTCCGACCGTGAAATTTTTTTTATGTATATAGTTAATTTATAATAATTCAGGTGGGACTTTCCTTGTTTAAAAGGGAAAAACGAAAAAGATCTTGCGAGGTAGAGGGTGGGAGAGGAACACTACAAGTGACAACAATTCAGTCTTCAATGAAGAAACACAATGAGAAAATTTGCAGCCCAGAAAAAAGAACAAAATGAGATTTTTTATTCGAAAATCCACCGCCAAATCGATAGATTTTGCGGCAATAAATTCGTCAGTCCTCCCCTGGTTCATGCAAATCACGCCATCGAATCGACAGAGCGTACCGAATCTAAAAAAACTTGCAATAGAAATGACCACGAAAAGCTTACGTGTCGGTATGAAAATAAGACACAGAGCCCCGGAATCCCGCAAAAAAAAAAAAAAAGCTTTGAAGTAAATCGAAGGGAAAAATCAGCTGAAAATCATTACATGATTTGCAGACAAGAGAGCCTGTTGGTAAACAATCGAACTCGAGACGAAGAAACTCGATTTATTCGATCATGCAACGATTCGATGGTCCATGTTTCGGAAACCACAAATTCATCGCCGCCGTCCCTTCCGTCCAATTCAATCAGCAGGCAAAGGAAAAAAGAACACGTAGCATACGCGACAGAAAAATCAACCGCCTCGGCACAGAAGCAAGACAAACGTGCTGCGAAATGCAAGAGCCAAGAGATCAAGCTCGAATCGCTTGACAGCACCCACGATTCCGAGCGCATCGAGGGACCAACCCCGCCGATTGGGCAAGAGATCCGTGGGTTGGGCGAAAAGGGGGGCCGAGCAGATGAGATGGGACGGAATGGAGGGAAGAAACGGGAACGGGAACGGGGGACGTACTTGGTGGAGGCGGCGCCGGAGCGGAGGGTGGAGGCCATGAAGATGGTGGGAGATCTGAGGCTGCGGCTCGCCATTGGGGGCAGCGCGAAGGAGGGCGACGGCGGAGGCGGCGACTTCGTGATGGGCTCGGAGGCGAGGAAGGGGTTGAGCTTCAGTGCCATTCTCAAGGTTGATTCTTGATCCTCTCGCGCTCGCTCGCTCGCTTCGTCTTCTTCTCTCTCTCTGCAACGGTGCTCGTGAGAATGATTTTCCTCCACAAGAAGATCTTGAGGGAAAAAGCTTCTCCCTTTATAGCAGCAGCCAGAGGAGGAGGAGAGAGAGAGAGAGAGAGAGAGAGAGAGAGAGAGAGAGACGGACAGAGAGACAGAGTTTTGCGTTGTTCATGTGTCGTGCGACCCGTGCGCTCGTGTGAACGAGGTTGCGTCTGAGGAAAATGCCACCGTTGGGTCCCGATTATTACGATTCTGCCCTCGCGATTAGTTTGTTTGTTTATTTATTTGTGGGGAATTTTTAGTAGGTGTTCATCTCGGAATTTTCAACTTTTTTACACGAAATTCGGGAAAATTACTTAAAAGGTTACGAAGAACTATTATATTTTTGCCGATTCAGTCCTAAAATCTTTTTAATGATTTGCCAATTGAGTTCTGACCATTTTTCATGATTTGCTAATTGAGTCTATCCGATCAATTTTATTCGGAAATCACTGACGCGGATGTCCCCTCTAGCCAGCCCTCACCTTTAGTCGGTCGTCGGACATTGCCAATGCCCAGAAGGGAAGAAAAAGAAAAAGAGAGAAAAGGAAAAAAGAAAATAAATAAATAAATTCAGAAATATTAAAAATTATTCAAGTATGCGTCGGCCGACGGTCGGCGTCCACATCAACGATTTCCGGCTAAAATTGATCGGACGGATTCAATTGGCAAAATGTGAAATGGTTTAGGTTTCAATTAGCAAAATTAAAAAAATCTAGGACTCAATTAGCAAAAGTGCAATAGATTTATGACTTTTTGGATAATTTTCTCCCGCAAAATTCTACCGAACTTTCATTTTGTTACGTATGTCAACCCGTGCATCTATTGAACTTTCACGAGTCCAAGGACAAAATTGTCATTCCTCATCGAATCACTTACCCAACCAAAATTCATACAATAAATGTAGAGAGAGAAAAGTACGTACTAATTTTAAAGAAAGTACCGACATAAATGAATAACAACAACATTAACATCGGCCGCCTAATGGTTAGCTTTAAAGTAGAAAGAGACTTTCAAATTCACTCCGAAGACTTTTTTTTTTCTTCTCTTTTTTTTTTACTTTTACCTTAATTTAATTGGGATCCGATGGGAAACGAAGAGAGAGAGAGAGTCGGCTGTTGTTTGGGACCATTTCATTTCCTTGTTTAATTCACGCCAAGACCTTATTTAGGAATCTTTCGTCTTTGTTTTTTTTTTTCTTTTTTTTGGGGGTAAGCTTTCTTAGGTTTCAGCATATATTCATATAAACACGACATGTGTCGGGTAACCCTGACCTGCTAAATTTTAGATAGACCCTTCCCTAGGAATTATGCCATTCCTTCCGTATATTAACCAGCGATACTGGTTCGGCACGGAAGGTTATTTTCTCTCTTTCCCGTTTAGTGGGTGCACGGAAAACTCCCATACCTCCCTTCGCTACCTATTTGCAACCACTGTTGAACACCTGTGCTACTCATCAATCGCCACCACTATCTCCGCCGACATCGAAGCCGGACTGTAGACCTGGAGGCGTTGCCGAGAGTCCGCTCGTGGTGGTCATGTTTCAGTTACCGGATAAAGAAAAAGTTATTTGGGGCCTATTTGTTTACACTTGACAAATAAGTAATAGCTTCTCCATGGAAATCTAAAATATTATTCAAATATTATATGCGAATATACGTATCGTTATTTAAATGTCGTGAAAGTTTCGGAAGCTTCAGATTAAAAAAAAAAAAAAGCTAGCAAATGTGAGCTACAAGATTTAGATTAGGGAAAGAGCAAGAAATAACAATCAATCTAGACATGCTCTTATATTTTGTAATATAACACGAAGTATTCATTTATTATATTCGACCAAATCTTGTTCGTCACCGTCCCGTCCACTCGCAATTAGTAACAAGCCCCCCTCCATGCATGGGGTGACAGGCATGTTCCTAAGATTAGTCGAGTGAAAGGCTCTACGATTCCAATACGGGATCGTCCGCGCCAGAATCAAGCGTTCGATCCCTCGGATTTAATCGCGGGCACCTCCCGAAACCGACCGAACGGCGGCTTCATTTTCGAACATACCTCCTCGATGATAGCGAGAACGCGAAGACGACAAGAACACATGAAGAAGTCCGATGATGTAGTATATTTAATTCCCCCAATGCAAGCTACGCATGCACGGTACATACTTTTGTACTTCGACAGATCCCTCCTCGATCAATTTTGCCTTCCTCTCGCATAAAAGGAGCCGCTCGCGAACGGCACTTTGTGCGCATTTGGACTTACCCCAAGTGAAAATACAAATGAAAACAACTATAGAAGGACAAATGTTGTTTGGAAGATACTCTCGGCCTTTGAGGACAGACAATCTATCCCTTTGTTATGCGGCAACGGCAGCCAGTATCAAATGCAGAATTTGAGCGTACATCACACCTGGTTTCAATTTGGAAAAATAAGAACGGTCAAAATACGAATATATAATCATCCTTAAACAATATCTCATTGCTAAAAGGACCAAATTGCGCCGCTTTACAATTCCCAATCCTCAAAATCTCCGGCTACACGACAGCGGAAGGCTTCGGCGGCGGCTGAGTTTACGGGTCGATGGTTACGCTCCGGTTAAGTGTGGATAGGGAATTTAGAATTTGGGTGGGGGCATTTTTGGAAAGAAAATGACGTTTTTGCAAATAATGCAATAGTGATGATGAAAAGTGGCCTTCAATGGCGAAACACGATATATTAATTGGTGTTTCTAAAAGTAGAGGAGGCAAGTGATAAAGGAATGAAATTTGTGGTTGGTTTTGGGAATTATCGTTGCTATGATCTTATGCGAGTGACACCGAAATGAGGATGCGTTTGGTTCAGCATAGCATCCAAAATAGACTTTGGGATCTTATAGTCCCTTGGCTAAATATAAATTGTGTTTGACAAATTTTTTGGACGGGAAATACAATTACATTTCTAGAGGCCTTTAGCTCAAAGCAGGTCTGGAAGTGCTTTGGAATGCTGCATTTTCGCAATGCAAATAGAATTTTTTTCTTCCAATTTTACTCTCACTATACTTTCATAATTACGAAAATGTCCTCGAAAACTCTAACTTTTCTGACAAAGGCCTCAGCCACAGGCGAGCCACCGCCAGCCTCGTCTAAGGTCGCAGGCGACCTGGGCAGCCGCCACCTGGGCTGGCGCAACCTAGGTTAACGGTCGGTTGGAGTTGCATGACCTAGGTCGATAGCCGCCTGGGTTCATGCAGCCTAGGCCTTGCTTGAGGTTGTGCGACCTCAAGCGAGGCTGCCGACGCCAGATTTAGCCTCGCTGGCCGCTAGTCCTTCTCTAGTTTTGAGTTTTTTATTTTAATTTTAAATAGAAAGCAAAAGGGTTTTGCAAAGTGTATTTTTTCAAACACCATTTAAACCAAGGTTGTATCCTAGTGTATTTTAAAATACACTTTACCAAACACTACTTGCATTTTGAAAAATCCATTTAGCCTCAAAGCCTTTGTATTTTCTCAAAGACATTACCCCAGAACCGAACCAAATGTTCTCTAAAACACTTCAAAAGAAGTGAAGACTTCCATCCATCTTGGTTATTCAGTCTAAGGAATGTAGTGACACTAACGGTACATATCGATAGTAGCCATTTGTTAAATTAACTTTCACCTGCAATAACTACATAAATATCTAAGTCTTGTCTCACTTTTAATTGTTTTATTTGGCCCTCGTTTACATATTACTCTAATTTTATGGTTCACTTTGCTTGAAAGAGAAAAAACAAAAATGGCCAAAGAACAGTAATAAAAGGGTAAAAGATAAAAGCTAACTACCCACTTTCTCCTCAAAATTACACTCTGATAAAATTTCTTTATTGTCCTTACAGTACAACGATCAACTTCATCGTTCTCTCATTTTCGTGTTCTAAATTCTGTATAAATAAGTGTTTTTAGTTATTGAAACAATGGTAATGTGTTCATTCCTTCTTTTCTTTTTTTGAGAACCGCTATAGCTTCCTAGATAAGAATCTATATAGTGGTAAAAAAGAATTTAACGCCACGTACTTTATTTCTTCATCCGATTAAAGTTATTAAGTTTATTATCAAATCATAACGTCGTTGCCCAAGGAATGAAAATTTGCGGCGCGTACACGGCGTGTACATGGAAACTAATTTGATATAATAAGGGGAAATTGAAATAAGTAAAGTGGGGGGAATTGTAAGGGCGAAAATGGGAAAAGAGAGGGATAAAAAAAGAAGAAAAAAAAAAGAAAAGATAAAAAAAAATGGGAAAGAGGAAAATGAAAGGACATCCCCACTTGGCAAGGTACGTCGTTTGCATGGATTCCACCGGTTCGTATTTTGCCTTTTGCTTTTGTTGCTTCTTCTCCTTCTTCTTCCCCTTCCGACTCTCCCCTCCTTTCTTTCTTAACGCTTGTCAACCCATCCCCCACGGCGCAACGTGCAGGCAAGTTAGGTGCATCGTTTAACAAATGTATGCGTAAATTGCTCATATAAATTCCCAACATTGCAAGTAATTTACAAAGCAGTCGATAAATTAGGAAGGGTAAATTTCGTATGATGCCCCTTACGTGTTTTAGTGAAAATGAAAGACCGATTTTGTTATGTCCAAGTGTACGCACTTATCTATCTTTGCCGGGAAGAAAGAGCGAGCTCGGAGGGGCAAATCGTGTGACTTCTCTCTTTTAAGTGTTTACGTAATTCACACCGTGCTACAAAACTATATTTGGGTTTATAAACTTTGGAGCAATCATCGTGACTCCGCACCATCCGGGACCTGTTAATTCGAGACGGGCGAGCTTTGTTAACGTCGTCATTAGACTCCCGTTAAAGTGCTTGGGAAGTGGGATATGTATGCAGCCTGCCCTCTTTGAACCTCGCGTTTGAAAATTTATGCTAGCATCATTAGGCGACCATCACTGGTAGGAACTAAGAAGTAAATGCATTAATCCGTCTTGATCACATTTTGAGATCACATAACAAATAGCAAACGCA